TTAAGAACCTTTGTAATTATGTTGAGCCCACCCAAATAATCCATAACAATCTCCCCTTTTTAAATGCAATTGTTTTGCAAACTCAATTCCATCTTCTATCTTAATTTCCTTTTTGCCATATAATTTAACATAATCACAGGTTACAGGGATTAGGATGTACATTTATTGTGGGGATGGCATTATTCTGTCTACTACATCATCATAGGGCCTGACGTACTGTATTCATTTAACGATCATTTGTTGAATGAGTAAGTCTTATACAATTAAACCAGCTTTTACAAAGGAAGAAATGTTGTATTCTTTCACGTTTCAAAGAAAGGGGTTTATTTTCAAATAGCCTAGAGTTCCTTGGTCTTGGGGTTACTTGCAAAAGTGATTCAATAGGTGACTGATGAAGAGTTCCAATGGAGAGTCAAGAGACAGGAGTTAGAAAATTCTTTGTTACCAGTTGTGTTAACTTGGGCCAATCGCTTAGCTTGTTTGGGCTTTATTAATGTTTTGAAAAAGTGTGAGGGAATATGATGAAATCTTCTCCATCATTAACATGGTATGACATAGACATGGTTTTTGGATACCTTCATTTTAATGGCTCTCTGAAATGATGAATATTATCTTAGAAAAAGCCTCAGAACCATCGAAGTTATCCATGTTCAAAATATGCTTATGAATGGAACATAGTGAAAAATAAGTAAGAAGTACCAAATAAAGAATTATTATACATGGTTGTAATAAAAATAACACTTAATTTAAAAAAAGCTGTATCTAGAGTAAGACTAGTTATGTCAGAAGAAGGGAGTATGGAAAGTTTAGTTCCCTTGGTTTATAGTGATTTTTAAAAAGGATTATTATGCACAGCTGATAAATGATAGATATTTGTTTATGTAAAAATTTTAAGGACTTCTATTCACTGCAGAAGAGAGTTTAAGAATGCATTCTGTGTTCTTTTTTTTTTTTCAAAGCAATATTGGTCTTTTAAAAAATTATTATTATTACACTGATGTATAATAGAAATCTTGTTTGATTTCAGGTCTCTGTAAGGATTGGGCATGGAAGGGGGATAGATGTGTGTCATAAAAAATGTGGCTGAAGTTCAGAGAAATAGGTTTCATTTAATAGCTGAATACTGGATGACCTCACCATTCTTCTCACCCTCTGGCGGCTCACCCCGTGAGCAATAGAGGAGCTGCCTGCATGAACTGAGGAGTAGCTGCTGGCCTCAATGTGATTTTGCAGTGATCTGTGTGCTCTATGGTTTCCTTCATAACCAACAAATCAATTCCCTCTATACGTATTACACACCCCAGTGGCAGAGGTCATTTATTATCCTTTTGATGGTCATACTCTTTGTACATAACCAAGAAAGATTACAGAGGAAGAAAAGAACAGTTGAAATGTGGATGAAGATATTGCACAATGGCACTGCATTTTATAATGCGCCTTGCATGTATACAACAATAAAAAAAAAAAGGTGCTTTCTTTGAAGACAATTTTGAAACGCAGATGCAGAATTTTCTTTTGAATAAAATATATTTAAAAAACAATATGTAGAGAGCTATGAATGAAATCCTATATCAGTACACATTTAGGTTTCAGATGCAAATTCAAAATGATTAACAGAAAAGGACTGTCACTGTCACATTTTCTTGTCATAGGAGAATTGTTTATAGGGCTATACTTGACTAACTGTTCAATTAATGAGCTTTTCAATATATCCTTTTATTTGGTATCATCAAGTATGAACTGATTCTTTTATTAATTTCTAATTTAGAAATATATAACTTTTAAACTCTAAATGATTAATTTCAGGTTTTTCCTAATTCTTTGAATCCCGATGCTATAGTTACCATTTTAAAACAAATACAAATAAATATTAAATTGTGTCAACTATGTACAAGATAATTAAATATTTTGAATTAGATATAAATGGTACACAGTGAAATATTAGTGTTATTTTTCCAAGATCAAATGTCCCATAAACAAATATGTGTATTTGAATGTGGGTGGGAAACATTTTATCAGTGAAGTTAATGATAAAAGCATGACTTTATAGTGGGTTCTGTGCTTAAACATTTAAACCACTAGTCATTCATGTCAATGGATACGAAAAGAACAGGAAATATCCAAAGGTCAAAGAAGCTACTGTCTTTTCTGTTTTGCATCATTTGAGATTTTCCAGTTTTTTGCAAACAACACAATGCTAAATCTGTATTTGATTTTCTCTTCTCTTTGAAGAGGCAAAACAGTGACAGAATAATTAACTGAAGAAGAGATCATGCACAGAATATTTTGCCTTAGCAGTGTAGAAAGTTCTGGGTTTCATTTCACATGATAGTAAACGTAGTTAGGTATTCTGGAATCCTTCTAAAGGAGAGTCAGTCCCGTGACTATATTGCCATTGATAAACCATAGCCTCTTGGGAGCCTGTTTCCTATTTAATGGTTCCTCGTTTGTGCAATTGAAAAGCATGCTCAGTACAAAGACTGCACATAGCTTTTAGTTAGATGATGCTCTACACCTTTATGGCAAAATACACACAAGAATAACAAAAAGAAACCATCAGTGTCAAGTTGGGTGCCTCATTAGTCTTGTGCAGACCAAAAGGCTAAAGTCCTGAATTGAAATTCTGAGGAAATAGTGTTGTTGGTTTTTTTTTTTCACTTTCAGTTGTTAGTTTTTTCTTTTTTTCACACGAAGATTCTTGTTTATATAATTTATCTTCTTTCTTATGGTACAATTTTCATCATATTTTATAGTCTTCATAGACAGGTGAGGTTTTATATGTAAAATGTTTTGAATATGTCTATAAATTCCATTTTTGTTATATTCTCACACTGTCTCCACCTGCTATAGTTAGTCACTAAGTCACTGAACCACCTACTAAGGTACTAGCATCTCTCTTGGTAACACATTTATCATCAGGATTATTTTTGGTTGAAAAAAGTCCTGAATTATTCTAGAGTGTCTTTCTAGAACAGAATTAGACAAGTTAATCCAGGAACTTAGAGCCTAGTTATAAAGATCGAATGTTGGTTTAATAAAACCGACATTTTATTAAACTCGTGAAGGTATATACCAATGATATTTGCCGTTTTAATTAATTGTTTTAATTAAATGACACGTGTATGTATATCCATGTTTATATCTCTATTATTTTTTAAAATTTTTATTATGGTGACATTGGATAACAAAATCCAGTAAGTTTCAGGTGTATAATTTAACAGTAAGGTATGTATATATTTTGCATTGTGTATTCACTGCCCACAGATTTCTTTTTGTCACCACATACTTGACCCTTTTTACTCCATCTATATCTCTTTAAGAAGAAAAGAAACCATATCATCATTTGGACAGTTCTCACACATTTCTTGGGCTCGATGGAAGGCCAGTCTATTTCAATGTAGCTCTGGTAAACATTGGAGGAGGAGAAAGAGGAAGAAGCAGCAGATCGTCTATTTATTATTTTGGAATAATTGCGGGCTGAGCACTGTTCAAAGGGTTTTACATCTGTTAACTTAGTCATACTATTGAGCCTAAGATATAGCATTAATATCATCTTCCTTTTCCATATGAAGAAAGTTGAGCATAGAGAGGAATTATAGGCAAGCAGTCAGATTCCAGAGCTTGTACAGTTAGTCACTAAGCTACAATAATTCTATTACATATTCCCGGAACACATTCTTGGGAATGGTGGAGAATGAATTCTGTCTCTATAGTTCTTTTCAGATAGCTTTTTCATTTTTACTCCTGAAAAAAACCAAAAAGTGCAATTTTAAAGAATTCGAAAACATCTCTTGCTCTCAATACCAAGCATAGAGGCAACCGGGACTAAATCAAAATACCTTATATGTTTAGCTTTGACAGAAAATGTCAGTACTGTGTTTGGAAATAAAAAATTTCTTAAGCTTTAAATTCTCGTTCATATAGTTTTATGGTATATTAATAACTCATTTCAATTTTTAAAATAAAATAGTTAACCTTTAACAAGTTATATGCAAATAATTTTATCTCAATGTAGAGAGATCATTGTAGGTAAGATAAGCAGAAATATTTTTAGATTTTTAAATATTAAAAAAATAGTTTTGTTGTTTATAATTCACTTCCATTTTTCTTTTCAAATTTTAATTGTTGAAAAATACACATAACATAAAATTTATCATCTTGACCATTTTTAAGTGTATAGTTAGTAATGTTTACCAATACCCACAATTTTTATATCTTGCTAATCTGAAACTCTATATTATTAATCAAAACTTCCTATTTTTCCTCCCCCTATCCTCTGGCAACCATCATTCTCCTTTCTGTCTTGATGAATTTGATTACAGACACTTCAAAGGCAGAATCGTACAGTATTTTTCTTTTTGCTACTTAACATAATGCCCTCAAAATTCACTCATGTTGTAGCACGTATCAGAATCTTGCTCTCTTTTAAAGCTGAATAATATTCCATTGGCTAGACAGTTGGGTTGCTTTCACCTTTTGTTTATTGCTAATAATGCTATGGTGAACATGGGTGTGCAAACATCTATTTGAGATTCTGCTTTGAATTCTTTTAGACGTTTACTCAAAAGCGTTATTGCTGGAGCATATAGCTATTCTATTTTTAACTTTTTTGAGGACCCACCATATTGTTTGCCATAGCAATTGCACCATTTAACATTTACACCAATAGTGCACAAGAGTTCCAATTGTTCCATGTCCTCCTCAACACTTGTTATTTTCTGGCTTTTTTTAAAAAAAAAAATTGTATAGTAGCCATCCTAACTGGTGTGAGGGAATACCCCATTGTGGTTTTAATTTGCATTTTCATATCCATAGTTCTTTATGTTCCCCTTTAGTCATCTATTATAGCAAAAATAAACATAAATAATTTGAGTCTTAAGTCTTCAAGAAATCATTTTATTCCGTTTTAATTTCTTTACATTGTTATTATTATTTTCAAAATATTTTACTTTTGGTTGTGCTTTAAGTCCAGAATTCATCTATTATTTCTTTGTTTGTAGCTGTTCTTCAGTTGCTGATAATACTGGATCTGGAGGATTTCTCAAGCATCTCCATTTTGCGCTGGGGTCGGTGTTTTCGGAACTTCAATTAGCTCAATGGCAAAGTCAGGGCTTCTGGTATATTATCCTGCTGATGGCCTCTCTCTGGTTCTTGAGGCTGTACCTGCATTACCTTAGCCAGTGGCTTTTCCTCCAGGCCATTTCAGCTCCTGTTACAAAGTGAGTACTTTTCCCTGAAAGTCAAAGAGATGCATTTTCATCTTGATAGGCCAAATGAAAGTACAAAACTCCTCTCCCCTCCATTTACCATAAGACCTAAAATGCAGGTATGATTTGAAAAGACAAAAATGTTTTTATCTAAAAGCAGAAACGTCTATTACAGTTATATTTTCATGAGCCTATATATACAAATACATAACTGGTACATCAATATATATTTAAATTTTAGCAGATTCAAATATGTTCTAATATCTGGGCAAAATCCAACAAGGAGTTTAGCAACAATATTTTATTCTATTTTGATTTTATCAGAGTGACTTAGGCTAAAGGTATTTTAGAAGTAATGTAAGTATGATTTATCACCTATTCTCAGAGAGGCAAAGATTGCTTCTTCTGCAAAATGATTGAATTCAAACAATTACCAAACTCAAGCCCAGGCAGCTTTCTGGGCCATTATCCTCTGGAAAAAGATGACACTTTAAAGGTTATCTCTCCATAAACATGATTCCATAGACACTATAGATAAACAAACAGATAGATATTGATACAAGTAAAATTCATTTTCTCAAATGTAGATGATACAGATAAAAATAAAGATGTGTGTATATTTTCAATTAAAAAGACTATAAACAACTTTGAGACACTATAAAAAGGAGCATATGTATATATCACATATACACACACATATAGTTTTTGATTGTTTTTTGAAATTAAATCGCAGGTAACTGAATGCTATAGAATATGTAACTTTATATATACTAAATAAACATATCTTCAAGGGAAAATTTTACATAGATATAATATTACTTCTCTTCATTCTTTTTTTTGCCTTCTCTTTCTTTTTTTTCCTCCTTTCTTTTGTGTGAAGATTTCCAAAGCAGAAAGAACAAATGTTGTGTGCTTGAGCTAGTTGCTTTTTGCTATCCACTATAGTATTTCTTTAATAGAAAAAAAAAGCTCAATCTTTATTGGTTGTTAATAAAATAAAACTGCAAAAAATATATCTTGACAGCTCAGTTTATCCAATTTCTTAAGCAACAGAGACCTAAGGTATTATAGGATATTTTGCTGGCTATTGTCTATGTCTGCCAGCTTGAATCATACATTAACTCCATGTCACATTGTAATTGTAAGACATGACAATAACTATAGCAACAATGAGCATTTCTTCTGCTTTTACTCTATTTTAGATCCTCTGATAAGAAATGTATACACATTATTTGATATTCACAACAGCATAAGAACAAAGCATAAAACTTCCTTAAAGCAAAGATTAGGAGTAGGTGAAATGAAGAACTCTTTTTAGTAGACAGCGGATAAGGAGAATCCATGAGCAGAATTAACTACAAAACAGCTTTACAAAGGCTGCACTGTAGGGGAGGGAAAACTTAGAGTGCAAGAAAATTTACTGCATGAAAATAGGGTGCCAAAGCCTGGGTCTACGCTGCTTGAATCACTGGGCTCAGCTTGCATTCAACCCTTAGGTCCTTAGGTTGTGCCAAGTTGCCCCTTTTAGAACAACTAAGAAATCTGACATTTTTTCTAGTTAGCAGTATTGATATTGTTATATTTAGGAGTCTATTTAGAGGAATCACAAGTAAAATTAATCAGCTATGCTAAAACTCTTAGGAATTATTAGATTTATTTGCATTTCTGATTTCTGCTAGCTGTTGACCTATTAGTAAGTCTGCTGGCATATTTTACATTTCAAATAGCCTACCAGTGAGTATGCGTGAACTACAGGGAAGTCCTTAGTCTATAGAATACTCTGCTCAGTGGATAAAATTTATATCCTTCTATGTTTGCATACAAGAACAATGAACAATGCAAAATTTGCCTTTTCCTTGAAAATGAGCTGTTGAGGTGGTAGTAAGGAGTCAAAAAAAAAAAAAAAAAAAAAGATGAAGACTCCTAACACTATTTTGGAATACTGTTAAGTGTCAAATTTTCTATGTTAAAACTAATAAAGCGAAGCACATAATTCTTTAAATTGTTTTGTGTGCCTGGAATTTTGTATAATTTCTCTTTGCACGAATGTTTTCTTTGTGTTCTCACAGATTCCATTTTTCCCCTCTCACGGTTGAGCTTTGCTACCCACCTTCTTCACTTCACATGGGAGAAGAGTTACTTGTGGTTGTGCTGGGGCCTTTAATGCTGAACGCAATGGTACTTCCTTTGGTTCTGATCAGATGGGGCTGTCAGCTACTGTTTGCCTGCTGCCCTGATGTCTTGTCAAAGTTAATCATTACCATGGGACTATGGACAGTTCTAGACCCATTGGCAGTGTTTATTGTGGATACTATCCTGGGGGTAAGTCAAGTAAAATAATCGAGATATCAGTCCTTGACAGAGAATTTAGCATTAGTGCACAAATCAATTGACATGGAAAGTTTAAAAAATCATGAACAATTCACTATTCATTTTAAATTGAAGTTTTTAAGTTTTTCCTCATAATAAAAATTATGGCTATCTAATATAAATAATTTAAGAGTAATTTTAACTATTTTAAATTAAAAAAAAAAAAAAAACCTTGCAAAATAAGCAGGAAATAATGTTGGAGTCAAATCCAAGCTAGTCGGCACATTTTCAAAGTTACTATAAAGAAGCTTTATTTTGTAACTTTTTGTTGGTAACTATTTTTAATGTTAAGGATTTTCATAGTAACACTTTACAAAAAAGTAACCATACAGTAGTTCCTTTAATTGGTTATTTATTTGCTTTAGGATATAATACTTACTCTTCTGTATTAAATATACTGGAGAAGAAGAACAAGAGCTTTTTAAACATTTCTAAGAAATAAAAATTTAAAAATGACTCCATAGGCATTTATTTTGACTTTTGGACACTTATGAAATGAGAAAAACAGTGCGTTTTCACCCTAAAATAATAGTTCAAGGGTTTCATGAGTATGAATGATATTCTAGAGTATAAAATGACATATAAACAATGGTAATAATGATTCTAATATTTGAAGAGCACTCTGCATTTTTCAAGCACTTTCACACAATTTATATGATTATATATTTACGATAACACTGTGAGTTGATGGGACAAGTGTTCTTCTCACTTTACAACTAAGAGAACTTAAACACACATACTTTCATGACTTGTCCCAGGCTACATAGCCAGCATACACTGCAACTAGACTAGAATCCATATTGTAAATTCCGAGGCTGATTATTTTTTCTCCATCATACTAAAATCTCAAAGTTTGAATCAATATATTGTCTCGTGAAATCAAATATATTGTATTTCTGATGACAATTATTTGTTTATATCAAAATATTTAATTTACTAATGAATGTCTGGGCTATAATTTGAGGCAAAATTGATGTAGATATTAATGTGAATGTATTGCCACATTCAAATCTCTTGTTGCTTTGAATCTGGAAGGCCTAGAATTTCCTGGTGAGTATTACTGGAATACACTGGTTCTCAAACATTAATCTGCATTAAAATCTATCGCAGGTCTTGTTAAAACACATATTGCTGGATGCTGCCCTTCGAGATTCTCCTTAGGTAGGTCTGCAGGAAGGCTCAAGAATTTGCATTTCCCAGATGACAATGATGTTGTTAGTCTAGGACCACAGTTTTCAGAACCACTGACATTATAGCTATGTAGGATAGATCTAGAGAGCATGCTCATGCTGGGAGGACCTAGGAATGCTAGTATAGCTTAGAAGGGCCAAAGCTCTAGCAAGGCAAAGCTCAATGGGGAAGCTCTCAGGTCCTGCCTATTAACTACCATCCACAACCCAACAGTTGGTTACTTTATCTAGTTTCATTGAAGCTGACAAAAGCTTTCGATCAGATTACCAAACCAAAATTAAAGGTATTATCAAATAATGGAGTAATTCAAGCCAAAAAACACTTTAGTTTGGAGTCATCAAATTTTCAAACAATTTCAATAAGCAAAGGGAAAGGAAATCTAAATTTCAACTAAATTTTTTTTACTGTAGATCTGGCTATGAAATATAGGTCCAAGCAAGAGAGCAGATGGATACCATAAATAAATCAATATGATCAAATGCTCATTTATAAAGTTATCTTAATTTGTGGATGAATATTTCATAACTGGTATACTTCTTTTAAGAAGAAAAAAGTTCTACAATTGGTATATATGTGTGTAGATTATATTTGTTGTGTCAAACACATCATAGCGATGAGTCGTTTAGATGAATCTGCTTGTTAAGTGTATTTCAAATGGATGCTACCATTAATAATGTGCTTTTAAAACTAAAGACCAAACTGCTTCTAAACTGCATTTATAAAGATCTTGTCCTGGATGCTGTGGTAAGCAGGTAAGCAGCTGGAATCAGCAAAGCCTGTTGCTGTTTTTATTTCTATTTTTCAGGCCACAATATTTTAGAGCAGTGCATCTTCAACTTTAATGTGCTTTCAAGTCATCTGAGGATGTATTAAAATGCAAATTCTGATTTAGCAGGTGGGGCCTGAGATTTTATATTTAACGGACTGGCTTTTTTAGGCTTTGCAGGAGAATTCTGACTATTTATTTCTTAATGGAATGACCTCTGCTAGAAATGTTTAGAAATCACAGACAAGTGCAATAGTTTACTCTGCAATCATTTAACATTATTAAAGTGAATTAAAAGCAATGCACATTGAGACTACCAGTCCCACTGCTAGGAATTGGAGGTACAGTCATGTGTCACAGAAAGCTTATCAGTATTTGGAAGACTGACCTGTTTTCATGTTCTAGCCTGTGAGCATACACTGAAACCTCAATACCATTAAACACTTGATGACAAGTCAGAAGAAGGAGGCTTGTCAGTCATGAATGGCTATGCTTTTTACCCCATCTCTGTTTTTTCACTCTGCAGATTAGCTTTATTCTGTTTCTGAGTGGACTGAGCTAAAACCAACTGAATTTTGTCCACATTCCTACTTCTCTCAGACTCTAGGTTAGCAAGGAAACTCTGCCATCAAGATTTGTTGAGCCGAAGATGTAGAAAGGAATGTTGTCTGCATTCTGGTAGGATCATA